AGCAGCAGCAGAAGAAGAATAAAAGAATAGTAGAGCAGTAGGCTGGCCGTTGAAGTGTGGGCAAATAAAACTGATTTGCTTCGGCCCCAGAAACATAACAGTGTTACCATTGCATAAATAAGCAAGGTTAAGCATTCTACTGATGTCGAGCCCCCACCGAAAAGGCCCTTCCCTAGGGCACCCTCGCAACCTGAAACCACCCGGGCATTACAATCAACGCCTGAGGACTGCATCAAGTGCTAACTCAGAGAGAGACTGAAGGGTGGTGACAAGAGCCTGAGGTGCCTGATCCTGCCTCATCTTGGAAACTAAGCAGGGTTGGGCCTGGCTGAAATCTGGATGGGCGACTTAAATATTGCCATTGCCTAGGGGGCGTTGACTACGGGCAGAATAGAAATGCGACATCATGATGATGGTGACGATGACAACAACAACGATGACAGTGACAACACTACTATTAATAATAACCTCCTCAATGGTGGCCTTCTGATTACGGAATGATCTCCGCACTGGCTCTAACACTGCCCCCAATTTGGTGATTGGCATTAAAGGGGATTTAATAGTATGATGTTATGCTAAATGCTTGTAACAAATCTAATTTGGAGTAAAATAGTTCTGGATGTTATACTTGAAAACATTGGTGCTGTTCTCTGCTGTTTTATTATATTTGCGGCTTGTCTTCTAGCAAACTGGCTGGAGAATAAATACATTCTCCCAACCATCATCCATCTCATTTCTGAGGGTGGAGGTAGCGAGAACAGGGCCTCTGAAGAGTTTGGCAGGTTCAAGCAGGAAACATGTGCCCTTCAGGTTCCCATTTAGGATTTTCTCGGTTGAGACCATCTATGAGATGAGCCCCTTAGCCTGCCAAGCTGACCTGTTTTCTTGTGGGCAGGATGGTGGTGCAGGGCTGCCTCCCAGCCTCTCTCCAGCCCCCGGATGCCCCTTCCTGGAGGTCTTCCAAGGGCAGTGGAGCAGTCCTTGCAGGACTTTCTATGGTGGCTGCAAGAGGGAGAAGGAATAGCCCCGTGTCAGATATCACATTCCTGTTTGGTTGCAAAGCTGTACCCGGCCCACCATGACCCCATGGACAACATTCCTCCAGGCTCTCCTATCCTCCACCATCCCCCAGAACCCACCTAAGCTCACATCAACTGCTTCAGTGACTCCATCTAGCCACCTCATTCTCTGCCATCCCCTTCTTCTTTTGCCACCAATTGTTTCCAGCATTAGGCTCTTCTCCAGTAAGTCCTTCCTTCTCATTAGGTGGCCAAAGTATTTGAGTTTCATCTTTAGTATCTGGCCTTCTAAAGAGCAGTCAGGGTTGATTTCCTTTAGGATTGACTGATAGATACCACATATCACCATCTAATCTATCCTATGGAGCACTCTGTTATTTTTGAACAGTTTTAAATAGACTGAATTGCACAATTGCATTTTAAAAATCTAAATATTGTGAAATTACACACAACTGTGAAATGATGCATATTGTGGATTCTGCCTTTATAATAATAATTATTATTATATTAAACTTATATTCCACATTACTAGCCCCATAGTTATTGTCAAGATTATTCTCCTTATGATATTCTTAACTGGAAAGGCCACCTTTGGGCCTTCTATTAATTTTCCACAGACCTTTTCCATGGCTACAGTGAAGATTGAACTGACATTTTATTTTGGAAAACATTTTTCCACTCTGGCATAGAGAATACATTTAAGCAGTCACAGATTGTTAACGCTATGCTGTTAATCCTGTTAGGAATTAATAGGTATGCAAAGAGTGGTTCTTGCTGCAAAGTTGCGGATCACTGCACTACATTTCTAGGGAAACAATTAGAAGAGCAGTGTCCTTGCTTCCTTTACCAGGGCTGGCCCACAGCTCCATCTGCCTTAGCCAGTAGAGGAGATGGTTCCCCTTCACACCTCCAAGTCAGGGTGCATAGTACTCAGTTCTGGTCAAGGTATTTTGCCACCTGAGACAGAAAACCCCAAAGCATCATTTCCTATGAGTAAAAATGCAATGCTAATAAACAGAAACAAGCAAATGAATATACAGTGGTACCTTGGCTCACAAACTTAATCCATTCCAGGATTCTGGTCGTGACCCAAATTGGTCATGAGCCAAGTCAAATTTCCCCATAAGGGTCGATGTAAATAAGGTTAATCCGCTCTGCAACTATTTTTTTACTCACAAAAAATTGAAACAAAGTGACAAAGAACAACAAAGATTGTGGCCATCTCCCCCCTCCGCAGGAAACATGTAGGGGGAGATGGGCGCAATCGTGGGTGTGCTGGGGGGAGGTGGGTGTGGGTGCACACGGGTCCATCCCCCCCTCCCCAGCACGACCGTGATCGGCCCGTGCATGGAAGGCAGGTGCGCTCACCATCATCACCCAATGCAGAGTTCATGACCTGCAGCAATTTTTTAATGAAATTTCTGTTTGCGGCCTGATTTGGTTGTGAACAGAGGCATTCGTGAGCCGAGGTACCACTGCACAGCCACTGACTTGCACCACCAGGGTTCCGGTGCACCCACCTCATCCTGCCTGATGAGAGTCAGGCTTGCCAGGCCTATGTTGAGAAAGTCTAGCTTGCTAGTTAGAGATAACAATTTATAATGCCTAACAACTGCTGTCAGCACCACTGTGGGTAATAAATCAATTGATTAGGATAATTTCTCCAGCCTCCTCTGAATGATGTGAGAGCATTGTCTTCTGATTGCATTCCCCAGGTGATCAAATTATTTGAATGTTGTTCTTATTAAAGACATTCTTCTCATGTCAGGCCTGCCTGTTCTCACAATGGCACTGCAGCCATTTCCCTATTATCAGGGTAAGATCTCGTTATATTCGTCATAGGCAACAAACAGAACTTGATGTTCTGGGCATACATTCAAACATAGTTGTTACTTTCTAAATTTGATTTAGAAGCATAATAACATTTCAAATTGCTTTATACAAATTGCAGAGCACCAAGTAATTTCTCTTTATGTAGTACAAAATGCTCAGAAATGAAATAAATGCATAGCTTTATTGAGTCTGCCACAGACATGCCTGATTTTCCCTTCATCTTACTTCACAGACCTGTTGAAAGGTTAAATAATTGCTCTGAACTCCTTGCAAGAAGTCATGAGCACACCCTTAATGCATTATAAAAGAGATAGTATCAGTGATTTAAAACAGTGCCACACCTTCATTTATTTAATTTATAGATCACCTGTACGGCTTTCTGGACAGTGTGAATTTCCCCTAAAACTAACATTAAAATAAATAATTCCATAAAACAATACAATATTACAATATGGACAAGGTTTAGTAGCTTGAAAATATCAATCTAAAATTCACATATATAAAACAGTAACAATCAATTATTAAAATATCTGGAAAAGAGAACAGTCTTCATCTGGTGCCAAAATGCTAGTAATGAAGGCATCAGGTGTGGAATAGAGGCAAAATAATATAGAATATCATATTTTATGAATATTACATAACTGCCAAAAAGTAAACACCAGCAAACTAAAGTTTTCCAGTAGGTGATACTGCGACTATCATTATTACTTGGATTCTTTTGCTTTGTATAAATCAAATCCACTTTCCAACATCAATTATAGATAAAGGTTATTTCCTTGCAAGCTAGTAGAGTGCCTGATTCTGCCAACGTTTCTCTTTTATCAGGACAGTTCCTGGATCACTGGATGTGATTACCTGAGTCAACTCAAGCGTGTTGTTGCCGTGACAGAAAGAACCATCATCATATGGGATTATAAATCACAAGGGTCTGCCCTGGTACAATGCAGAGTTATGCTAATATATCTTTAGAACAAGGATAACTCCAAAGAATATCTCTGGGCTTGTGCTGCCATTTCAATCTGTTGAAGTATGTGGCATTCTTGTCATTGAAAGCTCAGCAGCAGAAGAAGCTGGTCATAATATGGGTGCTTCCAGATAAGGCATTTATTGAGCAAGTGACTCGCTTCCTTCATGGAATTAGACAGGTGTCTGGACTCTTCTTGGTTTCATCATAGCTTCTTCCATCTGTTAAGACGGACAAGGACAGAAGAGTTGCACAATGTATTTGGTTGTGCTTTGAGTCCTTCCTCAGGAAGCACGCTAGGAATATATAAATGTTGTCATATGGCAGGATTATGCCTTGGTAGTAAGCAGCCATATAATTGATGAGAGAACTGAGCTTGGTCTCAGTCCGCATGTGCAGTAAATATTTGGTTCAATTCTAATGGCAGCTTGCTGCAGCTTAAATTAGGGGAAATGTAGACAGGATGTTGGAGTTCTGTGAATGAACTCACAAATGTCTTTGGTGGGACAGGTGATGTTAAAAGTAGCTGCAGGGAGAGTGATTCGGATAGGGACTCCAGCAACAGGGGAGGAATTAACCCTTTTCCCCCCCATACCATGTAACTACTGATTTAAATAGCCCACCTAAGACTACTGTTAGGCTCAGATGCAGGAAAGGGCATGTTTCCATATTATGTTGTTGTTGTTGTTGTTAGTTGCGAAGTCGTGTCCGACCCATCGCGACTCCATGGACAACATTCCTCCAGGCCTTCCTGTCCTCCACCATCCCCCGGAGTCCACTCAAGCTCACACCAACTGCTTCAGTGGCTCCATCTAGCCACCTCATTCTCTGCCGCCCCCTTCTTCTTTTGCCACCTATTGTTCCCAGCATTAGGCTCTTCTCCAGGGAGTCCTTCCTTCTCATTAGGTGGCCAAAGTATTTGAGCTTCATCTCCAGGATCTGTCCTTCTTAAGAGCAGTCAGGTTGATCTCCTCTAGGACTGACCAGTTTGATTGCCTTGTGGTCCAGTACCACAATTCAAACGCCTCAATCCTTCAGCGCTCAGCCTTCTTTGGTCCAGCTTTCACAGCTGTACATTGCAACTGGGAAACCCATAGCCTTGATTATTCACACTTTTGTTGACAGGGTGATGTCTCTCCTTTTTAGTATGCTGTCTAGATTTGCCATAGCTTTCCTGCCCAGGAGCAAGCGTCTTTTAATTTCTTGGCTGCAGTCCCCGTCTGCGGTGATCTTGGACCCTTCAGGAAAATAAAATCTGTCACTACCTCCATTTCTTCCCCATCTATTTGCCAGGAAGTGAGAGGACTGGATGCCATGATCTTAGTTTTCTTAACTTTTGTGCTCTCCTCCTTCACCCGCATCAAGAGGCTCTTTAGTTCCTCCTCACTTTCTGCCATGAGAGTGGTATCATCTGCATATCTGAGGTTGTTATTTCTCCCAGCAATCTTAATTCCAACTGGTGATTCATCTAGCCCCACCTTTCTCATGATGTGCTCTGCATATAAGTTAAATAGGCAGGGAGACAGTATACAACCTTGCCAAACTCCTTTCTCAATTTTGAACCAGTCAGTGGTTCCATGTCCAGTTCTCACTGTTGCTTCTTGACCTGCATATAGGTCAAGTTGTTTCTCAAGAGACAACTAAGATGGTCTGGTACTCCCATCTCTTTAAGAACTTGCCACAATTTGTTGTGATCCACACAATCAAAGGTTTTAGCATAGTCAATGAAGCAGAAGTAGATTTTTTTCTGGAGCTCCCTAGCTTTCTTCATAATCCAGCATATGTTGGCAATTTGATCTCTAGTTAGTCTCTTTGAAATTCTGCCTGTACTTCTGGTAGTTCTCGGTCCACGTACTGCTGAAGCCTAGCTTGTAGGATTCTGAGCATAAATTTGCTAGCATGTGGAATGAGTGCAATGGTGCGGTAGTTTGAACATTCCTTGGCATTTCCCTTCTTTGGGATTGGAATGTAAACTAACCTTTTCCAATCCTGTGGCCACTGTTGAGTTTTCCAAATTTGCTGGCATATAG